GGTTAAGGCTAAAAGCTAAGTCCCATTAACCCCAACATCTCGTGAACTATGACGAAGTCTGCATAGTACCTTAGTCTTTAGCTCTAACCCGTTGACTACACGGAAGTAACAGAGAAGCAAGGCGGCGATACAGAAGAAGACGACGGCTACGGGGTAGGGGGTTGGGTTTGACAAAGACATCCACGCCAGCATAAAAGGATAACGGGCTCCGATGTGCACAGACGCAGCAAAGGGGGGATTCCGCCAGCCAGAGCGGCCTTGTCTTTGGCCTTGCCGTGTGGAAAAATGGCGCGTGAAAAATGAATATCGCAAAGAAAGGCATCGGGGAAGTCAAAAACTGGACCTTCTGCTTACTAGACTTACGCTCCTTTTGTCCACATATGATATAAATGAAATGAAATGGGGTTTAACGTCCTACTGTTTTGCTCCGAGCTGGGCTAATGAAGACGGGCATACTCCATACAGTGTGCTATGAGGGAAATTTTGTTAACAGATTCTGTACGCCCCCCCCCCCCAAAAAAAAAACAACCTCCAGCAAAGGGTGGTTTGTCATTTACATAATTGGCAGCATAGGTCGATGGAATTTCGCTTTATTCCTATTAGAGATTCAACTTCTACAATATTGTAGTTTGCAAGGAATTCCCGTATCCCTCGAATCACCCTCAGATGAAATAACAGTAGTTCGGGGAAACCTCCAATTTGAAACATTTCCATGGTATTTATAATACGTATATTTAGCTCTCACACTTGAAAACATGTATTTTAAACCAACCCTTAACGTGTCCGGGTGTAATATTAAGTAGTATATCTAATAAACTGAAGATTATTTTACACGCATCTTGACCTCTAAATGTCTTTACGTAAATAAAATACAAGGTTTTCAATAAAAAAATATGTTTTAACGTAGATCTTGCTATGGTAAAAATAACGATTATTTCTTTTCAGAAATGAAATGAAATGGGGTTTAGCATCTTACTGTTCTGCTCAGACTGGGCTAATAAAGACGAGCGTTCGCCATGCAATGTGTCATAAGGGGAAAATGTGCTTTGACGCCGGTGAAACCCCTACTCTTACTTTAAATTCCACCAGTCAAGGGCTCTTTTACGTGCACGCCACTGACATGGGGAAGCCACACTGGAACATCCCAGGGAACTTTCTTGTTCTACAACAGGAACCTCCTGGTTATCGAACGACGTTACTGTTTCTTCTCGCGTTGTTTGACGAACGGAGATGGATTCACACGTAACAAACACGTTGAAATATTGTGTTTGAAAAAAAAAAACATTTGTCACAACATTGAGAGCGTATAAGGTTTCGAATTCCTGTATGAAAGAAGAGTGTAATATGAAACAAGTACGATCGTACTATGGACCAGGAATGGACCATCTTGTTGCGTGAAATTTAAAAACCTGATTCACTAAATCGATACCGAATTTTTCAAAGAAGCATGTCAATTGTCATGTTGATCGGGCTTGAATTGGCGGAGCCTTAGGCTTTGTCGAAGAGCGTCACTCCAAGAACAACAAGATGAGTAACGATTAGCGAACAGTTCCTGGTCCAAAACTACATGTTATCATGGACTTATTTATGACAGTAGAGTGTAATACCAATTGAGAACAAATAGCCTTTCAACCGATGTATTCGATTGTGAATAAATGAATTGAGGTTTGACGTTCTACTTTTCTGTACCCACAGGAGTCTGACCTACTATCCGTATATATATGCATACACCATGTCCAACCAGACAATATATAATAAAAAAGAACAGAAATGCAATGCCTGTTGAAGACTCGATTTTACCTGCTCTCGCTTCGGCTCGTTTTTTTTTTTTTGAACAATACGTAATGTCAGGCAATCAAACCTCTGTCGATTTACTCAGATATGTTTTTTCTTCAATCTAGTCGTTTTGATTTGCATAAATACTCCCACAAAACGTTATCATAGCCACTTGTGTCCTCATTGAAACGTTGCAGTTAATAAACCTAGTGAATGCTATCCATAAAGTTGTCAGTTTATCATGTAAAAGTAAAATGTATTCCCTGAGAAAAGCTTTCGTCAACTTTGACGGTGCATAAAAAATAAACACGGTAATGGTGGTTGTATTCATGCGTGACAAACCCGCTTACATATTTGTAATGACTACAATTTTGTCCTATGCTAAAAGAACAAGTTATAAATGGTATGGTAAAGGGTTAACATGTGTTAAGTATAAGCAGTATGCTAAAGAAACATGTTATAAATGGTATATATTGAATGTCATTTTTGGTTTCCCACTTGTCACCTTGAGATTAACCTGTAATAGGACTATCAAAATGTTTTTTAATCCAACCGGTTTCTTCCCACTGCTAAAGACCCCTACGAGCAAGCGAGTTATTGAAATAAAATTGAACCATATGTTAGTCCCGAAATGACCTAGTTTTTGTCGAGTTGACGTTTAACCCATCTCCATAAATGTAATTGAAATGTAAATGATTTTGGGAATGTAATTAATTACATTTTAATTACTTTTGAAATCTTCCATGACCATTACTTAATGAAATGGGGTTAAACGTGCTACTGTTCTGCTCCGACAGGGCTAATGAAGACGGTATTACTTAATGAACTGGGGTTTAACCTAATACTCTTCTGCACGAAGTGGGCTGGGGAAGACGAGCATATGCCATACAGTGTGCTATGGGTGAAATTGGGCTACTCTTATTTTGAATTCTAACTGTCAAGGGTTCTTTAAAGTGCACACCAACTTGTACACCGGACCCTGATTTGCGTCCCTCCACACTACTTGACTCAGTTCCTTGCCAGGCAGGCGGATAAAATGTTCTGCCAACAAAACTCTAGCAATATCTGGGCAATAAATACACTGTAGGTATATTATGATAATCTTCAGATATAAAATACACTACATTGTGAAATATTAAAAAAATATGTCAAGTATACACAGATTGTTTTTCACGATTTTGACTCACTGGGGCTGAACGAAATGGTGTGTTGGTGGTTAACTTGTATCTTATATAATGTACATATATAGGGTTGGGGGACGAATGGTTAGCACGTGCGCGCTGTATCATACGGTCTGTCATTGAGTCAACTGGCGGGGTTTCGATTCCCCGATTGTACGTGACGTGACAAGGAGTAGGGTCGCCTGTCAAACCTCGTGGATTTTCCCCGGGTCCTCCGATTTCCTCCCAATGCTAAAAACCCCTACGCGTAAAAGAATTATTGAAATAAAATTGAACCATGTGTTAGACCCGAAATGACCTAGTTTGTGTCGAGTGGACATTAAACCCCATCTCTCTCTCTCTCTCTCTCTCTCTATATATATATATATAGAGAGAGAGAGAGAGAGTATATATATATATATATATATATATATATATATATATATATATATAAGAAAAAAATATATAAAACGATCTAACTCTCAGTTAATCATATAAGTAAAATTCAAGTATTAGAGAAAAAAACACTAAAATTAAAATTTTGGCTAGTACTTTCATCGTTATCAAACGAATCGTCAGGCCATTTTAATGCGTTACTATGCTGTTACAATAACGTTACGTCATAACAGAGGACAATGACTATGTGAAATATAAAACTTAAAACGAAATAACATTAATTAAATATCAAACATAATTAAAATAATCACCCCTTCGCATTCAAAATTGGGTTATATTTAGCGATAAAGTTGCTTTCTTTTGTTTCCAAGAGATCATTATCACTAATATTGAGTTTGTACAATGACATTATTTATGAATAGTCCCAAGACGGACGAAAAGTACTTTAAAATGTTAAAATGTTATTAAACCAGTGTTGAAATCAGTTTTTTGTCGGCATACCTTTTATCTTTTCATCGTTTACCGTGAAACAAAGTAGTGCAGCTTTACGGTTGTACATGTACTAATATTTTTGGATATATATATATATATATATATATATATGGGGTTATCTAGACCCTAAAATGTTCTGCCAACAAAAGGCAATAAATAGGTATATGACACTACATTGTGAATTATAAAAAAATATGTGAAGTATGCATAGATTGTTTGTCAAGATTTTGACTCACTGGAGTAGAAAGAAATGGTGTATTGGTGTTACATGTGTATCTTTTATAATCTACATATACATATATAGGGTTATCTCGACCCGACTTAGTTCATATGCATGCGGTTTAGAGTTAAAAGTGCCCCCCTCCCCCGGAGCCTAGGAAAACAATAAAATTCGTATACAGAAGTTTTTTTAAGGTCAATGAAAAAGATTGAATAGACCGAAGTTCATTTAATACCCTTTGAATTCCAGTTGAGTTCAGGGATATGGGTGACCACTAATTTTGCACGAGGATCAAGGTTCAGTGAGGGCACACAAACTAATATTTATATTGCTGTGGTTGTGGGGTTAGGTTGTGTGGAAGATGGTAGAATCGATTACTAGCATATATCTGAACCACGGTATAATGTTAGGTTGTGTGGCCGATGCTATAATTGATTACTAGCATTTATCTAAGTCACGGTATATGACATATTTCAAGCTTTTCTATGTTTAAAGAAATACTTTCGATCAGCCGGCCAAACCTCATCTCAGCTATTTCTTCCTTTCTTAGGCTTAGCGCCCGCTTCCTCTGACAATGATATCGCAAACAAGTGTTCAATCTATAAAAACCTACATCCCTACAGAATGTTATTTTACAAATCTGAAGAGGTTAATCACAGTCCAAGCCATTCATAAAATGAGAGAAATTTCGCCTTGAAGTTGTACCCAGCCAGGGGCATGTTCTGGAATTGAAGCAGCAGTGGGTTCAAAGTAGAGGGAACGTCAAGTTTGCTTTAGGCGTAGGGGATTACCGGAGAATTTTGTAAAATTAGAAGATCTGAGGCAATATTTCTGTAGGAACTTGTACAACGGTGGATCTAAAGTGGAGGCTCAAGTTCAGGTTTAGTTTATTTGCGGAGAATGTTTTAAAATCAGAAGCTCTTAGACAACATTTCTGCTCATTTATGTTTTTTCAGGGTTTTTTTGAGAAAAAAATTATGCTCTGCGCGAGCGAGATAGAGGAGGCCAAGACCTCTAGACACGCGCCTGCCAACTCTAAATATAAGTACAACTCAAGTCCACCAAATATAATTGAAATTCATCACATAGTTCAGCGGAAGACATCGAAAATGTCTAATTTTGTCCCTTTAAAGACGTATTATGTAAGAGCTAGATCTGCCTATTGCAGATCTTTATTTAGGTTACAAAAGTTATATAAGCTATTATTTAGACATTTATTCACATGACCCGTCATCTCGGGACAATCGAATGGCGGAGACTGAAACGGATTAAAACATGGTCGCGATTTAATGATTTAATTCAAATGGCGAAGCCAGGTCAAGTCTCGAATAAAAAGTACCGTTGTTTATACAATAATACACACTCTATGCCACATCTTGTCATATCTTCAAACGGTGATAACTTTCCTAAGAATAGAGTAATTTGAATGAAATTTTCAATATATATTATATACTATTCAAAAAAAGTAGGGGATATTTGATTTTTAAGTGTTATTAAAGTCACCTAATGAAACTGACGAAGAAACAAATGACAAAATGAAATGAAGTTCACATTCATCGATTTATTCCAAATGATCGTTAGACTAAGTAAGGCACAGACTGACCATTATAAGGGTAAAATGATACCCGGGGTCAAACAGCAAAGTTACCACAGCATCACAACCAAGTCAGTAACGGGTAAATCCTCCTCTGTTTGCCAAACAAGCATTGATCCGACGTGGCATACTCCTAATGAGACGTCTAAGGTCATTTTGGTCCAGATTGTCCCATTCCTGTTGCAACGCAGCAGCAAGTTCTTGGACATTGGCAGGACGTTGTTGACGTTGACGTAACCTCTGTCCAAGCATGTCCCAGACATGCTCGATGGGGGAGAGGTCGGGACTCAGTGCTGGCCAAGGTAATGTGGTGATTTTCTGTTGTTGGAGGTAACCTGTAACGATAATGGCCCTGTGACATCTTGCGTTGTCATCCTGGAAGATGAAACGGCGGCCATGACGTCGTGCGAACGGCACAACATGGACTGCCAAGATGTTATCCCGGTAGTACTGGCCTGTAACACGCCCTGCAACAACATGTAAAGCCGTTCTTCCAGCAACAGTGATGCCTCCCCACACCATAACAGAACCACCCCCAAATCGATCATGTCTGATGACGTTAACGTCTTGGAAGCGCTCGTTACGATGACGCCACACCCTCCTACGTCTGTCCATAAAATCAACAGTGAACCTTGACTCATCTGAAAACATCACATTGCTCCAGCGTCGATTATCCCAGTGTTGACGATCCCTACACCAACGACGTCTTGCCTGAATGTGATGATCTCTCAACCAATGGATCACGCGAGGAAGTCGGGCGCGAAGGTGACCCCTATGCAGTCGATTCCGAATCGTCTGGCCACTCACTCTCACACCAGTGTCTGTTTGAAGACGAGCGCTGATCTGATTTGCTGTGATGACACGATTTCTCAAGGCCAAGGTACGGATAAATCGATCCTGGGCTTGAGTTGTCGCCCTTGGTCGACCTGAGCGTGGTCTGTCCTGTACAGATTGTGTATCACGGTATCTGGACCATAGCCTGCTTATGACAGACTGAGAAACATTCATTGTCCGCGCCACAACCGCCTGTGTTGTGCCGATCTGTAGCATGCCAAGGGCACGTAACCTTTCATTTTGGGTAAGCCGACGCATATCAAAATTTGTTTTCTGGTCACTAAAACAATTAAACTGATGTTTCCACCCTGGAATTCAATGCCACAATGACTGTAACATTCAAAGTCAGAGTCGTGCAAATCTTGGGTTGGACCCCCATGATGATCCCAAGCATCACCTGCATTCCATGCGGTAGCTATTGGTGCGTTTGGGCGTCACATGTAACTGGAAATGTTTCTTCTGTTAGGTTCTATAGTGACTTTTTTCGTAGTCATTTGCATATTTTAGTATTATGCCCCCAAAATCAAATATCCCCTACTTTTTTTGAATAGTATATATAGCAGGTCCAGCATGTGAAACTCATCGTTTAAGCAATTTGATAGACATCATACTTCAACCTTATATTAAACATGTCAAAAGTCATACTCGAGATAGCGTAGATTTTTTGAATAACTTACCCCAAAATGTCCCACAAAACGCTGCAAACCTTTATTCTAATATACCACATGTTTTAGGATTAACAGCTATAAAGCACTGGTTATCCAAACGATAGAGAAGAACGTTTTTCGGATTCATTTATATTAGAAAGCATCGACTTTATATTAGAAAACAACTGCTTTTATTTTGATTCTAACTATTAGAAACAACTTATTGGCGTGCAATGTGTAATAAATTCTCACCCTCGCTGGCCATTTTAGTCCTTGGATATTTAGAATTAACCATTGCTACGAAAGTAGAAGAAACATTTGATTTGGAGACCAGAATATATTTCGAAAAACAGTGGCAACGATACTTAGATGATTTTTTCTTCATCTGGCTCCAATCATTTGATAATCTCCTTTTATTTTATAACATAATCAATAATATTCATCCGAATATCCAATTTACAATGGAAATTGGTACAGATAGAATACCATTTTTAGACATAATGGTAATCAAAAACGGGGACATTATTGAATCTGATATATATTATAAAGATACTGATAATAAACAGTATCTCGAATTCAATTCGTGTCACCCTAAACACATAAAAACGGCTGTACCATATAATTTGGCCAGGCGTATCTGTGCCTTCGTGTCTAACACAGTAACTAAATTTCAAAGACTACGGGAATTGAGAGAATTTTTGCTAGCCCGCAAATATCCCTCCAAATTAATTAATGACGGAATTCATAGGACTAGTAAAATACCGATAACGGAATAAAGGCAGGTAAATATAAAAGATACAAATCACAATATAATTGCATTTGTCACCACCTTTAATCCCCACAATCCTAATTTCTCCAGCTTAATTAAAACACGTTTTCCACTACTTCAACAAGATAAAAAATTGATACACAAACGTTTATCCCGTCAAAAAGACAACCTAAAAACCTTAAATGGTCTCAGACTAGCAATTATTTGCCCATTGACTTCAATGTTAAATGACTGTAACATCACAGGCTGTAGCTTTTTGCTCAACATTCCGTTGGTTCCAATCTTTATAGGCACAATGGGGACAACATTTGGCAATCTCCTTATCATAATTTTGTAGGGGGTTGACCGATTAGATTTTTTGCTACACCGATTTGAAGTTGACAGGGGTGAAAATCTCACTTCCGACACAATGATTGCTCTGCAGAAAGACACTTTACACCCCCTATCCCTCCGCTGTAATATCATCAGTATTACCCAAAACTGCTATGAAATTGCAAATTTGATCCCTTTTCTCCAATTCTAGACCAAAAAGTCAACCAAAAAATGCAGGAAGAGGGGAGAAAAAAATTAAGGGAAAAATTGTCTATTTATAACTCGCACTACATTCGTACTAGTCTTACTCCAAATCACTGTGGAAGAGATAATTGTGGCACGTGTAGAGATTTAATTGAAGGTAAATCATTTATATTTGACAGTGGAAAAGAATTTTAATAAGGGGAAATAATTACTAGTCTTAGTCCAAATCACTGTGGAAGAGATAATTGTGGCACGTGTAGAGATTTAATTGAAGGTAAATCATTTATATTTGACAGTGGAAAAGAATTTTTTGTCAATGAAAGTATGAACTGTAAAGTAACTCATGTATTATATGTCATAAAATGGAGTGGCTGTGCCGAACTGTACATCGGCTGCACGAACAAGTTACAATACAGAGTAACGGTTCATAGACAACATATCAGGGAACCAAATTTAAGGAAGATCCCTGTAAGTGAGCACCTTGATATCTGCGGTAAGGGCTGGTTCAAAATATACCCTTTCTTTAAGATGCCGTATTCAGATCCCATGAAAATGAGATTGAAGGAACAATATTTTATTGGCAAATTTAAACCCAAATTAAACATTTCAAAATAATTACAATATTATGCTATATTATCTACTTCATTATTATTATATTATTGTATGTTTATTCTTCCATGACGTCACGTCATTTTTATTGTATGTCTTGACAAGCTCAGGCGAATCACGTAGACAATTTAACAATAATATATACATTCTTTAGGCATTTTTAACCTTTATTTTTTTTCTATATTAACACTAGTACAGTTTTAACTTCAAACATCTATTGATATATATATAAGCTCTTTATCTAAATCTTACATAAAGCATCTTTAAGATGCCTCTATCCATACTTTTCCAATCACCTTCATTTGCACGAACCCGAATAAACATTTTCCAAAGCAACATACGTATAATATTTGGTTGAAATCTAATGAGTGATTTAGGAGAAGAAACTGAACAGAAGTAAAATGATACAGACTTGCACATTGAAAGTTCCATTTCTCGGTTCTTTGTGGTTGATCGGCCACGCCTGAACAAAGCTGAACACACACTTCAAAATCTATAAAATTTGCGGGGGGATCACGTGGCTAAGTGGGTAAGACACTAGCTCGCTAGCCTGGAGGTCGGGTGTTCGATCCCTGCAATGGCCGAGAAAGTTCATCCAGATTTTCCGACGTGGTTCTCCCTTGTCAGTGATGCAGGACGGAGGGACTGACAAGGAAAGCTGTCTAGTCGTTCGGATGGGACGAAAAACCGAGGTCCCGTGTACACATTGGCGTGCACGTAAAAGATCCCTTGGCAGTTGGAATTCGATATAAGAGTAGGCCGTAGTGCAGCTGCCCGGGCAAAATTTCCCTCATAGCACACTGTATGGCGTATGCCCGTCTTCATTAGCCCAGGTTAGGAGCAGAACAGTAGGACGTTAAACCCCATTTCATTTCATTTCATCATAAAATTTGCGAGATTTAGGAACACCCAAAAGCCGAAGATGTAAAAATTAACGGATCGACGAGATAATTAAGCCCTTTAGAACTGGACTAAACGTTACGTAGCATTGCTGTCAGGCCAAAACGACCCTCCTATACACTGCAGGACATATGCCCGTCTTCATTAGCCCGAATTGAGCAGAAAAGTATGAAAATGAAATGAAATGGGGTTTAACGTCCTACTTTTCTACTCCGAACTGGGCTAATGGAGACGGGCATACACAATACAGTGTGCTATGAGGGAAATTTTGCCTAGACAGCAGCACAACGGCCTACTCTTATACGGAATTCCAACTGCACGCCAATGTGTACACGGGATCTCGGGTTTTCGTGCCATCCGGACAACTAGACAGCTGTCCTTGCCAGGCCTCCGTCCTGCATCACTGACATAGGGGAACCATGCCGGAAAATCTGGATGAAATTTCTCGGCCAATGCAAGGACCGACACTCGGACCCCAAGCTAGGGAGCCAGCGTCTTACCCACTTAGCCACCGTGACCCCCACAAAAACATATGACGTTAAACCCAATTTTATTTCATTTCATATATAGCAACATGCGAAGAGATATACGACTCTCACTTTAATTACAAATACGTAAGACGATATGCAGCATCAGTGCATAAGATTATATAATGTGATTCACCTGAAAGGTGATATATATGCAGCATAGATCTACATTCCAGTTAAACCAACTGTATCTTTTCATTTTTAAGTCTTACATGAAGCTGAATAAACTATATGATTTATTGTAATGGATGGTTAAAAGTGTGTAATTAGAGACTATAATTTGATCTTAATAGAAATAATTATATTAATGTATTTACGGTGGAATAGGGTTGCATAATGAGCTCTAAAATCAAGGACGTAAGAAGATCACACTATGGCGACACATCTCCTTGGTTACACAAAGAGATTCATACACTAAGATAGCATTATATTTTGAAATTACAATACTCAGTATGGGGGGGGGGGGGTATAATTTATTGTGTAACATTGTGATTTTAAACAAGACAATGCATTCCATTCTACACTACAAATAAGCCATAACAAGACATCCTTCTTATGTCCCTTCATTTTATTGTACATTGTATATAGAACTTTTCACGCCAATTCAATTACATCCAGATATTCAAAGCGTGTTAAAATTATATTCCTTTGACAGATGCTATGTCATTAAATGAGGAGGGGAGAGGGGGTATTTAACGTCCAAATACGGGCCATATTACAAAATACATGATATTTCATACCATTAAAAAGGTCCAAACTCATTTTCAAAATTGTAAAATATTTTCTGACATTCATATTTACGTTTCTTGTTAAAGCAGATATAAGGGAGGGGGTATTTAAAAGTCAAAATACGCGTCATAATACGAAATTCCAGTTATGGTATAATGATTCACCGGAAAGTAAAGTCGCAGTCATCGAGCGATTTTGCTCATTGTAAATATGTTTGCTCGTTTCTCCTTTGTTGTATGGTGACTTACTGTATGCCATGTTGATTTCCGCTCATGTCGTTATATGTTCCGGTTCGATGAATTTCGAGAAATGTTTTTTGGAGAAATGTTATTGAAGAAATGTTTTTGGAGAAATGTTTTCCAAGATTTGTATTTGGAGATATGTATTTATAAATTTATTGTTCGAGATTTATTTTTCGATGTATGTCTTTGATGAAATGTAAATGTAGATTAGTTTTTTGATTTACTAAAATAAATTGTATCTTTATATTAAAATAAAATTAAATTAAACAAAAGTACATTGCACATTGAAAGTTCCATTTCTCGGTTCTTTGTGGTTGATCGGCCACGCCTGAACAAAGCTGAACACACACTTCAAAATCTATAAAATTTGCGGGGGGATCACGTGGCTAAGTGGGTAAGACGCTAGCTCGCTAGCCTGGAGGTCGGGTGTTCGATCCCTGCAATGGCCGAGAAAGTTCATCCAGATTTTCCGACGTGGTTCTCCCTTGTCAGTGATGCAGGACGGAGGGGCTGACAAGGAAAGCTGTCTAGTCGTTCGGATGGGACGAAAAACCGAGGTCCCGTGTACACATTGGCGTGCACGTAAAAGATCCCTTGGCAGTTGGAATTCGATATAAGAGTAGGCCGTAGTGCCGCTGCCCGGGCAAAATTTCCCTCATAGCACACTGTATGGCGTATGCCCGTCTTCATTAGCCCAGGTTAGGAGCAGAACAGTAGGACGTTAAACCCCATTTCATTTCATTTCATCATAAAATTTGCGAGATTTAGGAACACCCAAAAGCCGAAGATGTAAAAATTAACGGATCGACGAGATAATTAAGTCCTTTAGAACTGGACTAAACGTTACGTAGCATTGCTGTCAGGCCAAAACGACCCTCCTATACACTGCAGGACATATGCCCGTCTTCATTAGCCCGAATTGAGCAGAAAAGTATGAAAATGAAATGAAATGGGGTTTAACGTCCTACTTTTCTACTCCGAACTGGGCTAATGGAGACAGCAGCACAACGGCCTACTCTTATACGGAATTCCAACTGCACGCCAATGTGTACACGGGATCTCGGGTTTTCGTGCCATCCGGACAACTAGACAGCTGTCCTTGCCAGGCCTCCGTCCTGCATCACTGACATAGGGGAACCATGCCGGAAAATCTGGATGAAATTTCTCGGCCAATGCAAGGACCGACACTCGGACCCCAAGCTAGGGAGCCAGCGTCTTACCCACTTAGCCACCGTGACCCCCACAAAAACATATATAGCAACATGCGAAGAGATATACGACTCTCACTTTAATTACAAATACGTAAGACGATATGCAGCATCAGTGCATAAGATTATATAATGTGATTCACCTGAAAGGTGATATATATGCAGCATAGATCTACATTCCAGTTAAACCAACTGTATCTTTTCATTTTTAAGTCTTACATGAAGCTGAATAAACTATATGATTTATTGTAATGGATGGTTAAAAGTGTGTAATTAGAGACTATAATTTGATCTTAATAGAAATAATTATATTAATGTATTTACGGTGGAATAGGGTTGCATAATGAGCTCTAAAATCAAGGACGTAAGAAGATCACACTATGGCGACACATCTCCTTGGTTACACAAAGAGATTCATACACTAAGATAGCATTATATTTTGAAATTACAATACTCAGTATGGGGGGGGGGGGTTATAATTTATTGTGTAACATTGTGATTTTAAACAAGACAATGCATTCCATTCTACACTACAAATAAGCCATAACAAGACATCCTTCTTATGTCCCTTCATTTTATTGTACATTGTATATAGAACTTTTCACGCCAATTCAATTACATCCAGATATTCAAAGCGTGTTAAAATTATATTCCTTTGACAGATGCTATGTCATTAAATGAGGAGGGGAGAGGGGGTATTTAACGTCCAAATACGGGCCATATTACAAAATACATGATATTTCATACCATTAAAAAGGTCCAAACTCATTTTCAAAATTGTAAAATATTTTCTGACATTCATATTTACGTTTCTTGTTAAAGCAGATATAAGGGAGGGGGTATTTAAAAGTCAAAATACGCGTCATAATACGAAATTCCAGTTATGGTATAATGATTCACCGGAAAGTAAAGTCGCAGTCATCGAGCGATTTTGCTCATTGTAAATATGTTTGCTCGTTTCTCCTTTGTTGTATGGTGACTTACTGTATGCCATGTTGATTTCCGCTCATGTCGTTATATGTTCCGGTTCGATGAATTTCGAGAAATGTTTTTTGGAGAAATGTTATTGAAGAAATGTTTTTGGAGAAATGTTTTCCAAGATTTGTATTTGGAGATATGTATTTATAAATTTATTGTTCGAGATTTATTTTTCGATGTATGTCTTTGATGAAATGTAAATGTAGATTAGTTTTTTGATTTACTAAAATAAATTGTATCTTTATATTAAAATAAAATTAAATTAAACAAAACAAAAGTACATTTTACAAATCTGATATGACAAATGTCTGACTTGTAAAACAAATATTGATTTTAAGATACAAATGTTAATTTTAGTGTACAAATGTCGAAATACGACAACAAATGAAGAAATAAGAATTAAGGGCTATGAATTAACAACTTAGAATTAACAACACTGAATAAAGGGCTGTTTGGTCTTCCATACTTAATGTCCCACTGTTCTGTATAAGGGGAAAATTTGCAACTGCAAAGTATTCTCTTACATGCATGCCACTGTGTACACGCGACCTCGTTTGTTCGTAGGCCTACCATCCGAACCACTATACGCTGTCCCTTGCCCCCTGTCATGCGCCACTGACAAATGTGTATGTGGTGTGTTAGGGAAGGGTGGGGGGTCACGTCTTGTTCATTGAAAATACAATATAAATCGCATCCAAATCCTTATTTTTTTGTTGTTGATGAACCTCACAGTTGCATTTCATTCTCGATGGGAATTTTGAAAGGTTAGGGGTTTAAACAGGTGTTTAAACAGGCGTTCTTTAATCCAAGACCTTTATCTTTCAGGAAATAAAACTAGAACAATGGCGTCTTCTTCCGGCAATTTCACAATGCCCTTCAAGGACTCGGAGAGAATTCAGCACTATTACGACTACTTTCTCGAGAGGGTGTTCAATCCCGGTGACCTGATAACCACCTTATTCTCTAAAGGTGTTCTTGATCTCGACAGAAAAACCCGTATACTTAATACAGAGACCGGTAGACCTAGAGTAGAAAAACTACTGGACATCTTAATGACAGAATGTGGTGACTGTTATCAGATATTCCTAGAGGCTTTAAGAGAAAGGGGTTTTGGGCCGATAGCAGATAAATTAGGTAAGATATCATTTGCAGTACCCATCCAAACAATCATCGGATTAACATAAAGGAGTGATCGGATCACAAATCGAACGTAACTTAATCTGGATTTAATTGATTTATTGTTATTCCCCCTGCCTATAATGTTGGTGTGAAATGGCCATCAATCTCTTTCGTCCGCTCGTCTGTCCTCTTCGTTTCCAGAATAGAAAACGAACAAAGTTAACTATTTTTATACAAAATTATTTAAACTCATCAATCGCGTGTTGAAGTGATGCCTTGTATATAATGTCTATTTTTATCTGCATACAATTAGACTTAGTCTGACCTTGAAGTGGGTCTCATTTCCGGATCGGATCTCAAGAATGATTTAATACTTCTTCCTTTCTACACACATCTCCTATAGTTGAAGTGGTGTCTTTTACCATTCAATTTTTTTTAATTTCCGTTTAAATGCGTACTGTTTAAAATATTTGTGAAGAATGAATTCGCCTTAAATCCGTGAAAGCTACATTCCTGAGAGTTATTCCCCTTTGTTCGGAAATCTATATATATATATATATAAAATGAGAGAGGGAGTGAAATGGAGTTAAACGTCCATTCGACAAAACTAGGTCATTTCGAGACTAATATGTAGTTGAATTTTATTTCAATAATTTGCTAGCGCGTAGGGGTCTTTAGCGGTGGGAGGAAACCGACGGACCCGGAGAAAACCCACGAGGCTGGACAGGCGAATCTATTCCTTGCCATGTACAAGCGGGGATTCGAAACCACACCGCTTGACTGAAAGACAGACCTTGTCATCAAATGTGCACGCGTTAACCATTCGGCCACCCAAACACCCTATATCTAAAAAGATGTGTCTATTAAAGATCAAAAATCGTTGTGCTCGGGTTTTTATACGCCCACATTTTCACGTGGACGTACATTGTCGTCGCCCCTGTTTGTAGACATTCTACGGGTCACAATTCTTATCCGATGTTGACGAAACTTAAAATTAGGTTTATCTCCAAAAGATCTCGGATGCTTTCGATATTGGCATGTATCGAATCGAAACTTCATGGATTATGGCCCCTGGTTGTACGAAAAATCACGTTTTGAGCTTGTGGACCCTGTAGAGGTCACAATTTTGGACCAATTTTGATGAAACTTGAAATGCATGTTTATAACTTAAAGATCTTGGTACATTTCGATATTTGCGCATATCGGATTGAAGCTTCCTGAATTATGGGCCCTGATTGAAAGAAAAACGCATTTTTCAGCTTGTGGTCCCTCTGGAGGTCACAATTATTAAAAAACCGTTTGAATATATCACCGTTACATCGTAAGGTTGGTTGAGTTCGAATTTCGTGAAAATCGGACCAATACTGCGCAACAAATTGGCCGCCGCTTGTACGCTAATATTGTAAAAATATGGTATATCAAGGTTGTGGGCCCTGTAGAGGTCACAATTTTAATTCGATTTTGATGAAACTTGAAATGCCTGTTTATAACCCAAGGATCTTGGTTGCTTTCGATATTCGTGCATATCGGATCATAACTTCCTGAATTATGTGGCCCCAGAGGTCACAATTATTATCCGATTTAAAAACACGTTCAAATATATCGTAAGGTATATAAGGTTGAGTTCGAATTTCGTGAAAATCGGACAAAAACTGCCAGACAAAATGGCCGCCTCTCGTACGCAAATAGTGTAAACATCTGATATATCAAGGCAGTGGACTCTCTGGAGGTCACAATTTTGTGTCGATTTTGCTGAAACTTGAAATATATCTATATAACCCAAAGATCTTGGTTCCTGAATTATGGCCTTTGATTGTTCGAAATATCTCTTTCTGTTTAGCTTGTTCTCTATCCATCTCTTGCAAAATGTGGGCGTATCCTGCCTGGCAGCCGCTGGTTTGTCTTCCCTTTTCTGTTTCGCACCATTTTGCTTTAATGGCGAAGAAACGTGTAAAAATAGCTTTTTATAAAACAATCAGACTGTCAAAATGAACTAAATGCCTTCGCATGTAGAAACTTTGTCAGTACCATCCTCATGCTTCCAAATTTCGAATATGTAGTTTCAAATAGCCAGCATCAAGGCAATATAATCACAATTTCCGAATTTGGATTAATGGAAATGTGAGAAAATCTAAGAAAAAAATATTTTTTTATTGAAAGGGTGATTACTTTCGATCATTCCCATCATGTTTTCATGAATCAAGAATGGCTGCGCATTCACTGTCAGTGCAAATGACCTCATTTGACATTTGACCCTGAATATCTCGCAAATGCCCCAATGATTACCACTCGGCAGCATCTTCTATGCAAAATTTTACAATAGAAAATTTGGGTTTGGTTTTGATGGAACCCACCCCCTCACCATTCATATTGTAGTTGACGCTTAGGAGTAAACCCATTCGTTTTGGGGGTTGGTGTGGCCTAGTGATCTAGAGAGTCGTGTTTCGAGCTCTAACTGGCCGGTCACTTCTGGCTTGCATTCGTGGTTTCGATCCCTAAATTGAGCATCAGTGGTTGATGTGGACGCCTTCTTCAGTTGACTCCGGATACTCCGGTTCCCCCACAGGAAAGCGCTAAGATAATAAAAATAAGACGACTTGGTGGAAGCGGACGGTAAACACTAATAGAGGATGATGATGAATCGATTCACTAGAACGTCCATTAATGCGATATGCAGGCTGTCTTTTTCTTTTCAATTGTGAATCCAGTATGTAAATCTAAATCATTCATTATTTCATTCCAAATCTAATCATCATCTAGGAATAGTTTCAATTAATTTTCTAAATATAATCTGTAATACAAGCCATCATTGCTATCTTTGTCTTTGTTAGGCAAACTAGGTACATAACGGATGATGAGGACTGTTGGAGGGGGTACTAGTCTTCTTCCTACCGACATTGTATAATCTTGAGTTACTTCAACCCGTCTGTTCATGTCCCGTTTATTCCCAATTTTACTGTTCCAGGTGAGAATAAGATAAACAATAACCCTTTATTATTTTACAGGTGAACAATCTCCTGCATATATCAGAGTGGCACTCATTGGCAAGACTGGAGTTGGTAAAAGCCACTTGGGAAATTTACTCCTAAATAAAAATTATTTTGAGTGCAGCAATTCGCTTCATTCGTGTACACCAGTCTGTTCAAATGGAGAACGCGCTTTAGATGAAGATACTAACTTGACCATCATGGATACTCCAGGTCTTTTTGATACAAGAGATAACAATACAGAAACGGTTAAAAAATTTCTTTCCATCTTCAAATTTACTGGTATTCACATATTTTTAATGGTTGTCAGAATTGATGTGAGGTTTACAGAAGAGGACGAAAATGCCCTGCAGTCTCTATGCGACGTGTTTGGCGAAGACATAAATGACCATCTTATTGTCATAATGAATAACCAGAGCCAGGGGATCAAATCCAAAGAAAACTTGCTTCCTGAATTACCGACGTCGTTAAGAGATATTTTAGATCGTTGTAAAGACAGATGTTTAGTTGTAAATTATGCTACTGATGTCACGGTCGATGGTAACGAAGAGATCGAAGCCATTATAAACACTATACAATCAACCGTTACTGAAAACAAAGGGCGCTCCTATACACATCAAATGTACAAGGAAGCTGAAAAGGCATACACCGAAACACTTAAAAAACAAACATGTGATTTCGAGAAGACAATCAGACGACTCCAATGTAAAATTTATGAGTTGAAAAAATCTAGTGTATCAACTATAACACTACCAAAACCTAAACGAGAAAAAACTAAATACCAAACAGGTTCGTTCTAGAATTTACACTGTTTAATAAATAATGTGGGATTTTGTGATAGATGAAGAATTGACTAGTTATCAGATCAATACTACCTGTAGGAATTGTTGCCCCCGCCTTTCGAAGAAGGCAGGGGACTATTAAAATGGGTTCGTGTGTCTGTCTGTCTACCCGTCCTTCTGTCTGTCACACTATTTGGGACACTAACTCTCGTTTTAATTGAGCTAGAATATTCAAACTTGGTGTATGTATTTATTAGACCAATGCTTTGATGGAGTCCGAAGATGCGCATTTTCTGCTTAGGTGAATCAGAGATAAGCAATTTGATTGCTTGATGCTTTGGGACACGATAACTTTAGTTCTTATTAAGTGAGAGTGATAAAACTTGGTGTATAGATTAAATGATACCCAGGTTACAGTGTCAATACCTGTTCGATAATGAACATTTTCTGCCGAGAGAAGCAGAGCGATAAGCAATTTGATTGGTCCAGACTTTAGAACACAATAACTCTCCTTCTAATTGAGGTAGAATGTTCAAACTTGGTGTAGGCGTTCATTAGTTGAACATTGTCTGCTTACCGTAAGCAGAGATAAGCGATCTGGTTGATGCTTTGGGACACGATAACTTTGGTTATAATGAAGTGAGAGCGATGGAACTCCGAATATAGATTTATTATATCATTACCTTGACTAAGTTTGACGGAGAGAATTTTCCGCTTAGGCTAAGGAGCGTTAAGCAATTTGATTGGTCAAGACTTTGGAACATAACAACTCTGCTTTTAAATGAGGCAGAATGTTTAAACTTGATGAAGATGTTCATTAGGTGAATGATTTGACTGAGTTCAATGAATAACATTTCGAGGTGAAGCTAAGCAGAGCTAATCAATGTCATTGGTCGATGCTTTGAGACAAGATAATCTTGATTCTGTCTGTTAGAGAGTGATGAATGAGCGATTAATTAATATGTGTCATCTATTTATTTTGGGATTTCGGTGGGGGACATCCGCCTCAGTGTTGGCTTGTTTATATATGAGGTATAATCAAGACACTTCCTGCACCCCTACAACAATGTAACGAATGCATGTTCATACTAAAGCAAATTAGTACTATTACTATTATTTATCAAATAGCTTTTACCGAGAAATCATCTAACTAAATCGAATTGTCTGTACTTGGGTGGCCACTCTGTACATTGGAAAGGGAGCGGGGTGAAATTTTGGCTTTAGCGGTCAAGCAACTCATTAAAACCAACCGATAGATGGACAAAGCATGGAGGCATCTTGAAATCGAAGATGGTCGCCAAATAGCCACAGCACGACATATCCTTTTATAGCATTCTAGAAATAGCATTGGGTGTACCACATATTCTCTTATCGTCTGTAAACTATTATAGACACCAAAATTGATACCCTAGCATGTATGGGCGGTTTATATAGAATTTGTTCACCCTTCCCTGTTAAATGGCATGAGAGCATTAACATTTTTATAGCCAAGGGATTGTAGCTTCAATCTTTCGTTAGGGCTAAATTCCACAAGGAAATCCTAATTTGCTTTTACAATGTTTGGTCTGGATGAGTATGCATTCGTCGGTCAGATAGAGTGACACTTTTGTTTTGCTTTATTTTCATTATTATATCATTATACTTCAATATTCAGGTAGAAGAATATTATTAAAAATTTTCCATTTCGTTTCTTTAAAGATGCCGAAAATTTACTTCATGATGCCTCAAGTAAGCAGTTTGTAGAGACAAGAGCTTTCAGAGAAGGGAGGCGTATTTTGGAAAAACATTTTATCTTGGGTATAATTGGCGCTGTAGGAGATGGTAAAACAGTAATGTGTCGGATGGTCGCCAATTCGTTCTTGACGGTTCATAGAAATTTTATTCCATTGGAAATAGGACACCCGAGGGACCTGGATTCCGTAACTTTTACAGATGAGGATAGCTACTTATTGATTATTGATGTAATGTTTGGTATATGGACACGTACAATAAAAGAACAAATGCAAGAATGGCCAAAAAATTTTGAGTTATTATATTTAGCAAAACAAAAGCGTAAATCGGCAATAATCTATGTTATGAGACATGATGTCTACCAGGCTTGTCAGCATCTTCTTGGGAAGTATGAAATATTCTCTACATTATATCGGTTACAGCTTCATGAGACACAATTCCAGTTGTCAAATGATGAAAAAAAAGATATTTGGCGATACCATTTGGGAAACTGTTGCGACAATCATCTGGAGAAGATGGTGGAACACAGTTCAGGATGCTTTGGTTTTCCAGGTATTGTCAGTCTTTGTAGTAAAAGTAGTAAAACTTACACAGGAGAAGAAATTTGGATGCTAAATGGTCTATTTGATTTTTTGCGCAGGGAATATGACATATTCTGGAAGGAAGATAGAATTAAGTATATGGCTTTATTTGTTGTATTTAGTCCACGGCCTCTCTCCGAGGATGGAATACGACAAAAGACGAATCACTTACTACAAAATCAGATACAACAAGCAATGGGGTATTCCGGTGGAGTAGAAGATATTCTCGATTCGTGCAAAAATTTAACTGGTTCTTACGTAATATGTGATGAGGAAAATGAGAAGCGCATGTCTTTATCAGAAAAGTTGATCAGACCCTTTCTGCTTCATGTCTCTCAGCGATTTTTAGAACTGACAATAAAATTTTGTCCCTTTGATCTCTTAATAGATCACGTGTCTACCGTACCGGATGATCACAAGGTTTTCATAAAGTCCTCTCGCTATGTTGATCTATATGAAAGATTCTCTCGTGAATTGCAGGAGAAGAATGAAGCTGTGTTATTCCACCAAGCATTTCTTGACAGTAATTTCTTGCAAAAGGTACTTAATGTAGATAGTGGTGACATGCTGCTAAATCCCGAGCTAAAGATACAGCTTGGTGGTGATCCAATGGACGAGGGACATTTTCTGCATTATGTATGCTTATTTGGATATTTGAAAGAGATGCAAATAGTTTTCGCATACTCCAGCAAAACTACTGCAATTTTATGTGACATAAAAACAAAGCTTGGGTTGGATTTATTAAGCCTTGCCGTTAAATCCGAGAACGAGGCAAAAGATAAAATAAAATATTTACGTGATGAGAAAAATGTTATGGAATGCCAGAGTAAAACTGAAATTCAACAACTTATTCGTACAGCAGCCAAGGCAAACAATTTGGATACTCTGAAACATGTTAGTTCTTTTACAGATATTGACATTAGCTCTGTGGATCTTAACCAGCAAACTTTTCTACACCATGCCTGTGATTCGGATTATGACGTCCCAGAAATCGTCCAATATCTCATTGCAAAAAGCGCGGATGTCGAGGCAAAGGATAAAAATGGCTGCACTCCTCTAAATCTAGCAGTTAAACGAGGAAAATTCTTGACAATAGATTGTCTCATAAAACTAAAAGCTTCTGTCACCGTGGCTGACAAAGACAGCAAATTACCCATTCATGTAGCTGCCAACTCAAATGCAGGCCGTTTGGATATTGATACACCTGGTATAATAGAACTGTTGGTGGGCGCTGGATCACCTGTTAATGCTAAAGATGCTAGCGGTATAACACCACTGGTAGAAGCCCATGCTAAATTTGACGAAAAGACGATTGGTGTGTTAATTAAAAAAGGAGCAGGTAAGATCCAGTCTTTAATCTTGTAAGGATTCCGACCCTGGTTGTGAAGATCTGTAACACCCTCGACATGTAAGCATCGCGTAGTTAAACGAAATGAAATGAAATGGGGTTTAACGTCCTACTGTTCTGCTCCTAACCTGGGCTAATGAAGACGGGCATACGCCATACAGTGTGCTATGAGGGAAATTTTGCCCGGACAGCGGCACTACAGCCTACTCTTATATCGAATTCCAACTGCCAAGGGATCTTTTACGTGCACGCCAATGTGTACACGGGACCTCGGTTTTTCGTCCCATCCGAACGACTAGACAGCTTTCCTTGTCAGCCCCTCCATCCTGCATCACTGACAAGGGAGAACCACGCCGGAAAATCTGGATGAACTTTCTCGGCCAATGCAGGGATCGAACACCCGACCTCCAGGCTAGCGAGCTAGCGTCTTACCCACTTAGCCACGTGATCCCCGCGTAGTTAAACAAGGTTTAATGAAAATAAATTGATTGTATACATGTACCTCTTTTACAGGTGCACCTCCGCTGCTTTAGGGCTGGCTTGTATTATAAAATATCCTTAAAATTAAAACCGAATGAATGAAGTCTTAACACGATTGTTTCTGCGCTTGTCTAAAATACGTTATTAATTGTCGAATGGCATAATTTTGGGACATTTTAATAATGTGAATATCTCTGTGTTCTTTTAAATTTCGAATGTCATTGCTCGCATAATATACATATATACTGATGTCCAAAAGAAAGTATACACTGTGAATTTTGTGCTGCATCAACCAAAGTCGTTTTTCCATGGTATACGGTATTTGGGTAGAATGTCAATTTGTTTCACATTTTTATTTTGCTTAGAAATGTTGAGTTTGGACGCAAGAGACAAACCCAGTAATGCTTTATCAAATGTTTTTAATCTAATCAAACCTTAGTGATACTGTTAGTGTGTATACTTTCTTTTGGACATCCAAACATATTTAAGAACGTTCGCTGCGCTTGTTCATACAATCTCTTCAATCTCCTCTAGATGATCGACAAGCCAAACACGTGCAATCAGATGCTATATATATTTTAAGTTTCAGCAACCTCGGATACAAATTATGGCCTCTTTTGGGTCAACAACCTAAAAAACGTTACTTTTCGTGAAATCAGGGGTCATAATTCACGAAGTTACGGTCCGGCATATGCCAATATCGTCAGGAATCCTTGGAATATAAACATATAGCCTATTTTTAAGTTTCGTGAAAATCGAATAGTAATTGGGACCTCTAAAGTTTCTACAAACAAATGTGAACGACATGGACGTATAAAATAGAACGATTTGGATAACATTTACACCAGTTCGTGCCCCAGGCCCCCATCCCCAAAAGAGTCTGGCGGATCCCTTTACACCCCCACCCCTGGACTTTGGTATTTAACTCATCAGAGTTTATATTGGAAATGACAAACATCTGTAGTAACAGATCAATCCTAAAGACTAACTTAAGCTCACCTAAGTAACTATTTTATAGTAGACCAAACTCCTTCGGATGAACAACTTTCTACGGATGAACAGTTGTCTACAGATGGCCAACCTCTTATGGTTAAAGATCATTCTATAAATGAACAGTCTCATTCAAATGGAATTCATTTTACGGATGAACAGCTTTCTACAGACGAACAGCTTTTTACAGATGACCAGCTTCTTACAGCTGACAAACGTTCTGCAGATGGACAACCTACACGAGATCACAAAGGTAAGAATGCGTTTCTATGGTTTACCAACTTTGAGCATGTGCCAGCTTTTCCTGTATTTATGGCATTAGTGGGTTCGTTTTGCCAAAAATGCGTCTTATGATCGACATTGAAATGAAATGGGTTTAACGTTATAGTGTTCTGCTGCAACTGGGCTAACAAAGGAAATATTATTCAGACAGCGCCGCAACGGCTTGAGCTTATTTCGAATTGAGTCGGGGCACCCAGATAAATAAATTGTAGTGATGACATTTAAATAGTAATTGTAAATGACAATGTAATTACATTGGCCATTTAATAGCCACATCCCTGAGTGTACTTCCCGTAAGTCTAATGCTACATATTGGGAGTATAAAGATAATCTTCCTGTGTGTCGACGGGGACGTTAGATCATAAAGTCTGTCATTGAATCAAGTGGTGTTATGTGGGTTTCCTGCTTGTTACGTAACAAGGAGTAGGGTCGCATGTCTAAAATTGTTTCTTTCCTCCAACCATCTGTTTCCAAAAAAGGAACCTTGTTATCCTGTAGTATTACATTTTGAGCAAACATTAATACCATTTGACACAGGATAGGAAACGGGGATAAAAGCTCAAAGAGCTTGCAATGTACCGGGTCTAGTAAGGGACCTGGAAAAATAAATGGCTGAATTAAGAAAAAAAGGTCCAAAATTGTGAAAAATATATTCGATTTTGTGCATTCCTGTGTATATACTTGGCGAGTAACACAAGTTAAATGAAAAATAAATATTGTGTATTTTTTTTGTATTAAAACATAAGTTTCAAACATAAGTCGACCAAGTCGTACCAAAGCCAGGCATATCTAATTCAATTCTTGTACTCAACCATAAATGTTTGGGGGTCTGGGACATTTTTGTGTAAGAAGCTAGTCTGGAGGTCGCGGGTTCGCTCCCGGTGATGGCCGAGAAAGTTCATCAAGATTTTTCCGGCGTGGTTTCCCCTGGCAGTGGTGCAGGACGGAGGGCCTGTCTAGCACAGCTGTTCTTGTCAGGCCCTCCTCCTGTATCACTGACAAATGGGAACCACGATGTGAATATCTTTGAAGTCTACGTGTTTTTTGGTGGTTTTTTTTTTAAATTTCAAATGGTATTGCTCGTATTGCATATTTAATTCTATATTTAAGAACGTTGGCTGCGCTTGTTCATTACAATCTCCTCAATTTTCTCTAGATGATCCACAAGCCAAACACGTGCAATCAGAGACTATATATTTTAAATTTCATCAAACTCGGATACAAATTATTAATTCTTTAGGGTCTACAACCTAAAAAACGTTATTTTTCATAAAATCGGTCCGGCATATGCCAATATCGTCAGGAATCCTTAGAATATAAACATATATTTTTAAGTTTCGTGAAAATCGAATAGTAACTGGGACCTGTAAAGTGTTTACAAACAAATGCGGACGTATAAAATAGAACGATTTGGATAACATTTACACCAGTTCGTGCCCCGGGCCCCCATCCCCAAAAGAGTTTGGCGGATTCGTTTACACCCCCACCCCTGGACTTTGGTATTTAACTCATCAGAGTTTATATTGGAAATGACAAACATCTGTAGTAACAGATCAATCCTAAAGACTAACTTAAGCTCACCTAAGTAACTATTTTACAGTAGACCAAACTCCTTCGGTTGAACAACTTTCTACGGATGAACAGTTGTCTACAGATGGCCAATCTCTTATGGTTAAAGATTATTCTATAAATGAACAGTCTCATTCAAATGGAATTGATCTTACGGTTGAACAGCTTTCTACAAACGAA